TATATATATATATATATATATATATATATATATATATATATATATAGAGAGAGAGAGTTCATCTGGATTCATTATTACAATAAAGCGTTCTGAAATAAATTAGTAACAGATGAATATCAAATGGACTTTCTCCTGGATGGTTTATTGTGTAGTGTGAGCAGATGCCATAGACCTGTCATTGACAGTTGTGTGCTTTGTGTGTATATATCAGTGTCTTTTTCCTCACAACACGCTCGATTCATCCACAGATCTGGAGAAAGAGAGCTTTATTTCTGAAGTACCGCTCCAGGGTACGCCACGGTAAAGAGGGCTGAACTGTGTCCGTGTGTGTGCTTGCTTTGAGTGAGCATCTTGCATATAATCATATTAGATTTTATTATGCTATTGTGTTGTGTTGGACAACATGAAACGCATGGCAACACGACTGGTTTCTGTAATGTGACTTAACAAGTGTGAAAAACTGAATATTATGTGGAAAATAATGTAGAATAAATGAACAAAGGTGACTAGGGTGGGACCTACAGTAGTTTTATCCATCTGTATGTGTTGGGTTGATCGTGTTTGCTAAGTGGTGTTTACTATTGCTAATACTTAAGATTAGAGGCTTGTTTAAATAACTAACCATAAGTTTTGAACTTCAGGTTGTAACACGTCCTGCACCATTTGTGCTCCAGGCATGAATAAATGAAGTTATGTGGACCGAGCGTTTTGATTGGACGAACATTTCTTGGTCCTACGCCTTCCACATAATATATAAATACAGATAAATACATTTAGACCGCTTAACTTAATGATTGCTATCGGCATGCGAAGAGACTTTCAACCAGCATAACAAATTTTTTTTCTGAAGACAATCACCTATTGCACCTTTAATGTATGCTTTCCCATTATTGAAAATAGCTGAGAGCTTAAATTGGTTGATTTCACCTTGATTTTTGAAACTTCCTTAACATTTAAAGATTAGTGGCCACATGAGAAACACGAGTTTCTAAAAAAAGACTGTTTATTTCCCTGTATGAACATAAAAGCATCATCACGCTCATTAGCTGTGTTTTTTTTATAGAGTCTGAGTCTCTAATTGTGTCACGTTACATAATTATATATCTGTGTTGGAGATACAGTTTTTTGTGGCTGAAGGCTGTTCAGCTCACACGGTCCCAGCCCCATTTACTAAACCGAACATATACTTACTCTATATGTCAGTGCAGGAGTGTATAGCTATTATCGCCTGCTTTTTCTAACATATGTTCATGTGTATCATCTCCAACTTGTAATTACAGGAACGGAAAGAGGGAGAGACCTGTAGTGAAAGAACAGCAGCCGCTCTGCCAGGTCAAACAGACTCCTGCTCACAGTAGAGAGACAGCGGGATGTTCATTTAGAAGATGTTTGCGCAGAAGAGTATTTCTATGTGTGCCAGTGAGATTTGTTTACAAAGGGATCAGGCTAACTCGCTCTTAAAGGGGCCGTTCACCCCAAAAAAATACATTTCTGTCATAATTCGTTTCACCACGGCAGGAAGAAATGCGTACAGATTGTGAACAACATGATGCGGGTGCGTAAATAATGCCAGAATTTGGACAACAAAAGACGTTGGAAAAGTACAAGACAGATGTGAGGAAGGTTGAGTGAATGAGATTCAGGCCTTATTATTTACATGCTGCTGTGACTCTGTGATGCTGAGGTTTAGTGCTTTTGAAAATGTCACGATCTGTAAATGGGTTTTTTACGTTTGACATGCAAATGACAGTAGAGATAGCATTACTGTGGACATTTTTATTGCTCAGCTCAATGCTTTCATAGCTCAGCTTAATAGGTCTGTTCACCTAGATTTGACTGTTCTGTCCGTTTTACTGACTTACTTAATCTATCATGTAAATTGGAAAAAGAAAGAATGAATCCCCCAGATTTACATTTGTATATCATTGCCTTGAAGGTGGGCCCTTTAGCCCAATACCACAGTAACCACAAAACAATGTATTACATTGCTCAAAACACCTTAGCAACGCCCTAACAACCACCCCTGCATCCACATAGAAGGCAGGGCATGTGTATTCATATAGCGCACAATACACAATAGTAATTCAAAGTGCTTTAACTGTCCCCCCTTTTTGAACATAGATGCAAAAATGCACTGAACTGAAATGGTTGTAATTCATGAATGATTTGAAAAAAAGTTAGTTCATCCAAAAAATCCACATGCTGTGAAACTTCACAGGACCATATGAAGTATCACACGATGTTCCTGCTGCTGTTTGGCACAGAGTGAACATGATTGTGGCTCTGAAAAGGACAAAACAACAACATAAAGTATCTTAAAGTCCATATGACTGATGTCTTACGAAGGATTTGTGTTGCTCTCAAATCTCATTCATACTTTCGCAGACCTAAGATTGGTCTCTTTTTAAAGAAGACAATCAGTGAATGATTGCTGAAGTGAAAGCATTAAAACAATGGTGTAAAAAGTAATAGTTTACGTTTACTGTTTGAAAATGTACTGTATGAAAATGTTTTATAGATATTGCTATAAAAGCCACAATAAAACAAAACAAAGTCATGTGTCCAACTAAGCTATATTCCGAATTTGAAGTTGATATCACAAAAATTGAGGTTCTAGTGAGATTTTGTAGGCAAAAATTATTATTGTTGTTGTTGTCGTTACTGTTTTAATGCATTTTCCTGTCACAAATTTATACATTTCTCTCACAATATTTCTTCAGTAACAAACTGGTGACCAAATATGGAATCTTGAGACTCAGACCTTTCAAGTTCTATCTGTTATGGCAAGATTAGAAAAAGCTTTTATTATAAAATACTATAGTATATTTTGAAATACGACACTGATGACACTGCCCACTAGTGGCAGGAGTCCATTAAAAAGATTTAAAGTACCATTTCCATGGTAACACAACATCCAATTTCAAAATGGTTTTCACATGATACATTTTGAGTATCTAAGCTTTCAAATGATGTCCAATTTAGGATTACTAAAAAATATGTGATGGGGAAAAGACAATAAAAAAAGACAGTTAACCGGTTAAAGAAAAAGATAAGAACATAAACTCCGCAATCAGCAAAGCACAATATGGTGTAACCAAACAATACCCTAGCAACTCCATAGCAACCGGCTAAAAAAATCTAAAGGCACGTCAGCATCCGCACAGCAGTAGCAACCCATAACACTCCAGCACCGCCCCTGTTTCTTCAAAACATGTTTGAATCTAGTTTGGCATTGTGATTACATTAGCAGGACGGTGTCCGCCCTGCTGGCACGATGATGATGTAATCTCTGTGAGCCCCCTGCTCTCGGTCTCTCGATCCGCTCTGTTAAGGACTGTGTGTGTGTGTCTGATTAGCTGGGCTGCTGTAGAAAGGGAGGTGGTCTCTGCCTCTGGAGACTCACAGAATCGTGAATGATGCAGCACTTGATAGACGGACTGGAGGTAAAGTCTTTCTCTTTTCTCCGTTTCTGTCTTTTCCTTCCATCTCCCGTCTGCTGTTTGTTGAATAATCTCTGGGGAATTTGATACTCAGGGGTCCTGGCGTTACTGTGGATTTACTAATGGATGTTGGAGTGTATTACTTTAGTAGGGAAGCGTCAGCCGTAGACTGCTGGTAGTCATCTGGAGGTTTTGTTTATAGGAGCGGCCTAAGAAAATCAGCGGTGTTTGCCGGTTAAACCTCAGAGAAGTGTTGTTTGGCTTGGTCACATCTCTGGAAGTGGCCGTGAGAGAATGCAGAGGTGTTTTACGCCCCGGGCTGGCTTTGTGGTCATGCATTTGTTTGTGTTATGCATTGTGTGCAAGTTATTTTTAGCTGCTGGTGAACAACTGCAGACTGACAGGCCTGGAGCAGCACTGCTGTTCCTGCCGAGGTATTTTCCTGGCTCCGGCTTGTTTAGCTTTGGCCAATGTCATTGCTAGCCTCTCTCAGGGCTGATCTGAGGTCATGCACTGTCATGCACCTAGTAGACTGTAGACTGTGATTAACATACGGTTTAAGAAAGATGTTCAAGACTCTTGCCTGGTGTTAAAGACGTGTATCTCTGCGGAGGCAATCCTCAGTGTTTATATGTGTTTTTATTGATAGACAGTCAGACGGTCCTGAACACTAGGTGGTAGCAAACTGTATAACTGCTGTATAATTGACTACTTTGAACTGTAGAAGAAGAAGACAGTTATGAGTTGAAGGCTGTGCCATTTCATGATAATATATATATTTAACTGTTTGATCAAAGTTATTGCTAGGGATAATTTGGTAGTCGCTGGATATGGTATTGGATATGTCTGCTGTGCGCCCCACACTTTGAGAACCACTGATTCATCCTAATTCTTCAGCATCACATTAAAAAAATATGTGTCATTTTTGACACAGTATAATGGAGACTAAACAGGAAGCAAAGTGGGAGAGAAAGAGGGTGATGGGATTGGAAAGAACCAACAGCTGGGATTCAAACTCGGGTTACGTAGAACTGATTGTCAAGATTTAGTGAAAGTATGTACAGTTTGGCTATAGTTTATGGACAAACTTCTATAACTTCAATAGGTCCCTCCTATTGGAAAAATACATTCAATAAAAAAGTAATAAATGTTGGATTTTTAATCAGGTTTGGGTTTGTGTTAAATTTGTGTTAGTGTTAAAGGGATAGTTCACCCAAACAATGAAAATTCTGCTATCATTTACTCACCCTCAAGTTGTTCCAAACAAATAAGATATTTTGTAAAATGTGGGTAATCAAACAGTTTCTGGTCCACAATGAGTATTTCCAATGTCAACCCACATTCTTCAAATTATCTTAATATATAAATAAAGAAATCACTGCTAAAAACATTGACAGCCAATCAGATTCGACCTGACTTTAAAGAGCTTGATATTTAAAGCGACAGACACAGTAACCACAGCTCAAAACAGAACGTTATTGTCAGTGGATGTGGACACTAATACAGTTTTATATATTATCATTCTTGGTGTGAAATAGGCATTTAGTCCTTAGTAAATGCACAACCTCTATTGGACCTTGAAAGCTCTTCAGACACAAATGCGTCATCATTTGAGTAAAGGTGCGGTCACATTAGGGGAATTTGACAGGTAAAAATATGTCCATGCATGAAGCACAGCTCATATAGAAGTCATACGAAATTATGTGATCCACTTAAACCTGTTGCAAAAGCTGCAAATCTTTCCATGCAAAATTCCCATTTGCACACAATTCAACTGAAATGACTGGATTTCGCCCACAAAAATTTGCTGAACATCGGTAAATTTGACCGCACCAAGTCTGGCTTTTTTTAAAATGCAGCTTGTGCTGAAGTATTTGTTCAGGTTTTATACACGCATGAAGCATGTGTGTGTGTGTGTGTGTGTGTGTGTGTGTGTGTGTGGCAGGATGCTGGTATTGTTTTTGTGGAAGTTAGACAACAGACTGTTATGAACTGGTTTGAATTGTTGAAACTGCATCCTGTTTAATACTGAATAAGCCCTCATTACATAAACAAGATCACAGTGTCTGAACATGCATCCAGCTGTGTTTCTAAATATCCATTAAGGTGATGATATTTTATACGGTATCTTAATATTATGTATTGATTAGCTTTATTACCTTTTCAAGACTTTTGAGAGCTAAAAAACATTATGAAGCTTCAGTACTTCGCATAAAAGCTTGACTTTGTGCAAATAGATGTTGGTGTGTGTGCAGGTGGATAAGCAGCAGCAGAGTAAGGACTCGGTGTACTTCAGAGATGGCATGCGGAGGATAGATTTCGTTCTGTCTTACATCGACGACAAGGACGGAGAAAAGAAACAGGTGTGTCATCCATTCAGTTACGTTTTATAGTTTTATAATCATATGATAACAATTTCTGTTTTACAGGTTTATATTCATATGATAACATTTGGCATCCTTATGTGAGTTGTGAGACAATTGGGAAAAAATAATAATTTGCCTAAACAAATTACTAACTCTAATAAAATAAAATAAACTAATAGCCATCCTTCAAAACAATTTTTTCCTATCCCTTAGAAATGGTAATTAGCATCGAGTCAGAGCTGCTTATGCAAGAACTTGTTAGCAAATGTAACTTATCATGGATCAAATGAGTTGCTGTGTGGTTTAATCTCTCGATAGATCTGTTGAAAGTTTTACTGATTGTGCATCCCTTCACACTGCTGATGACACTAGCTGTCATAAAACTGAAGGCATCCTAGATACGTTTATCTTCCAATGGTAAATTTTCCACATAGATAGTTATTGTTGTTGCATGAGTTAGATTTGGTCTATTAAAACTTGTGCGTCATGTATTCAAATGTATTTGTAATTACACATTATAATTAACGATAGAGTTGCAATTTAGCACATTTAAAATATATTACTTTGATCAAATAACTGCAGGTAAAATTGCAATCAAGTTTCCCCATGTACTGCAGTATGTTAGATAACACATCAAAATAAGTGCACTTTTTTAAAAGTGCTTCTTTAAATTTTAATTGTGTATCACATGTTCAAAAGTTGTAGCGAAACATCAAAACAACAGCAAAGCGTAAGACAATGAGTGAAAATAACAGTAGACTTAGTACAGCAGGATAAAACACCTTTGACTCTGGCCACTAGACGGGCATTGTGCCCTGACAAGTCTCACACTGCTGTGTACAGTATGTGCGTGCGTGCGTGCGTGCGTGTGTGTGTGTGTGTGTGTCAGAGGTAGAGCCCGACTGATAGGGGTTTTTTGGGGGCAATACCGATATTAGGGAGTAAAAAAGACCGATATCGATATATCGGCCGATATTCTTTATGTGTAGGCTATATAACAGTACAGTATAGTCAAAAATTTGGACACACTTCCTATTTGTGTGTCCAAACTTTTGACTGGTACTGTATATAGAATACAGTATACATATAAACACATTTTTTGCAATGATAACTCAAATGTGGTGATCAAACACTTGTGTGTCACTATGTGACAAATAGGCCTATGTAATGGAAGCAGGGTATTTAACAATAAACTTTATTATTCAAAATGAGTCTGACATCAGTGCACTTAACAGTAAACTTCACTTATTATAAATAACTTAAAAAACACAAATAGAACAAAATATATATAACTTGAATTAAGAAAATTAACAAGGTAACTGCGTAGGGCAAGCAAGCTATACTGCTAAACCAACAGGGGCAGGTTTATGCAGGAAGCACAGCTTTTCCAAATGTAAACATCTAAATTGAATAAATAATAATAATGAATAATTTTTTTTAACAAATTCTGTGTTGTGTACTTTCTGGTAATCAAATGAACGTGCAGAACATGAGGATTCGTATTTAAAATAGTTTTTTGCAGTTTAATATTCACAGACACTAGTCTATATCGCGATTTGATTTATGTGTACTGACCTGTTTTTTATTTATTCATCAAAAATAAGACAAATTCCATGAAATTCCGCGTTATACAGTAAATTTCATTTTTATGAATGGATTCTGCGATTCCATCTGCGTTTTCCACATCGCGGAAATCACAGGGCCCTACTAATGTAGCAAATGAGTATGATAAGCTCATTGTGAGAGTAAAAGATGGGGACATTGTTTATTTACTTTATAGCATTGAGTCTCACCAACTAGGTGACAACGTAGCGTTAAATCACCATTCAACAGACTCAAGCAACCACCGCACTGCCGTCTATTGGACTGCAGAAAGATACTAACTTTTCATTCTGCTACGTTACTGACTGTACTGACAAACTATGCTGACACACCAAGTCTACACTGAACGCGACAAAGCGACCATTGAAAATCATTTGTACTTTGTGTCAGTACGTCATAAATAGAACAAGGCATCAGTTTACTGTCGGGATTTGTCGTGTCGCGTCGTGCCGCATCCAGTGTAGACAGCATCACTGATTATAATGGGTTCTATTGTATTTTGTCACGCCGCACCGCACTGCTCGCGTCCGGTGTAGACACCCAGTTAGGAAATGTGATGTGACCGATGTGATAAACATGAGTTCTGGGCCGCGGCGTGGCCGGTATAAACACAAGCATTGACTGAGTGGCCGCGATCAGCTCCGGTGGCCGTGGAGCCATATGCGCCGCAGACGCGTGCAGTGATGCACAGATCAGCGCTAACGCCACTGAATCTGCCGTTAAAAATGAACCATCCATTCATCATATCATCATGCAAAACAAAGAACTAGAATCATTGTAATGTGACGATCAAATATAGGTACGGTGGGTGGCAGGCGGATAATTTATTTGAAGTAGCAGACTCGGGTGAAGTTTGAGCTCATCCGCGCATCTCTACACTACACTGACCTGGGTCGCCAGTAGCAAACAATGGAGCGTGCTCTGCTGGACAAACTAAGTAATTACACCATTTAGAAGCATTTCATCTGTGTTATATGTTCTGTAAAAAAAAATTCATATCGGCGGCATATTCACAGATACCGATATATCTGCGTCAGGCTCATATCGGCCGATAATATCGGCAAAACTATATATCGGTCGGGCTTTAGTCAGAGGTGAGAGTCTGTATGCACTTCCACATTCTTGTCACTCACAAAGTATGTGCTTTACCAGGCCTGGCCAGGAACTCACACACACATGCAGCTCTGCAGACACAAATATTGATCTCCAAAAGCTTTACAGTCTGTTTGTCTGTCATAAAAAGTTACCAGAAACCCTTCTTGTCCTACGTACAGTATGTACTGCAGCAGAAGCACAAATCAGTCAGATGTTTTACTGATCTTTCATGCAGGATCGAAGGAAGGAGTTTGAGGCTAACTTAAAGAAAGCTGGACTTGAGCTGGAGACGGAGGACAAATCTGTGAGTGAAACATCTAAAATCACAAATGACACCAGAAACCTAATCGGGACATTGATATATATTATTGTTCTTACTTTTTAGCTGTTACTGTTCATTTAAAAGAAACTGTATTAGAAACCGCATTAGTTACACCAGTCACACACGGTTGTCTTTGCAGGAGTCTGAAGATGGGAGGACATACTTCCTGAAGATCCATGTCCCATGGGAAGTGCTGGCAACATATGCAGACGTTCTAAAAATCAAAGTGCCTTTTAAAACCAACGATATTACAGATAAAAAAGACATGCCCATGAGCTGGCTCTGTACTCCCTACCGTCTGCCCGAGCATGTGATGCAACCTGAGCCCGACTACTTCACCGCCACCTTTGACAAGAGCAAGACTGACTTCTTCCTCATCGAGGACAAAGAAACCTTCTTTCCTCCGTCCACACGGAACAGGATTGTAAGAAAACTAGACGAAATGCCAAGAATATGTACAAATATTACAAGATATTACATTATAGTAACCTCCACTGCAGCAAACTTTTACTCTGCCCTGTAACCAAAGGCTTGGTTTATTTTCTTCTCCATGTAGGTATATTACATCCTTTCCCGATGTCCGTACAGTAAAGAAGACAAGGATAAGAAGGGCATCAAGAGGCTGCTGAACAACGGGACCTACGCAGCTGCCTTCCCTCTGCATGACGTAAGTCTTTAACAGAGGAAGATGTGCATTCAGTGGCACAAACCTATCGACTAGTAGATGTTTCTCTAGAGACTTGCGTTTCAGAAGGTTTAATAACGATAATAACAATAACGTTAATGTGTGTTTTTTGTAGTCTAGGTACTGGACCAGGTCTCGTGATGCTAAGTGTGAGAGCGAACGTTATGCCTTGTATAAATACTGGGCTCGTTTCAGCCGCTTTTACAAGGAGCAGCCGCTCAACCTCATACGGTGAGACCATTCCTTCATTCAAAAACACGCACAAAAAATTGTATTGACATTTATATATGTATGTGTATACATACATAGAATCATCATTTTAAACAGCCATTATAAGCAATTAGATTCCAAATTTTCAGAAAATTGAATTAAAATTTTTGTTGAAATACTTTATGCTATCATAGCTTAAACTACTAAACATTAATAAATTGATTTGACCAATGGTGTGAGTTTGAGGGTGGGACTGTCTGCTTGTTTGACCATTTACAGATGGGCCAGTGTTCATTAAAGCTGTTTTTGCAGTGATTGCAGAAATGTACGTAATGCAATGAATTAAAGGTACAATATGTAAGTTTTCGCCGCTAGAGGGCGCGTATTCAAAATAAACAAAGAAACAAAGGCGTAGTTTGATGACGCCGTGACTGATTGTGGAATCATGGGAGTTGTCTTCATCCCCACAGCTGATGCAATCCAACAGGACTTGGGCAGAAATCATGTTCATGGATGAGCTAATGTATTAAAGATTTATTAACGTCGTAGTATGAAGCAGAGTGAGGCTGAAAACCATTGAAGCGAAACGAGGCCGCTGAATGAGCGCGACACACGGCTCGAAAGCAGCGGAGCTTTTATTATGCCACAGTCGACCGCTTCCGCTTCTTCCGGTCGTGCGTATGTGGGGAAAAAAAGTAGCGCTGTTTTATCATACTAGATACATTTGAAAGTTCTGTTATAATGCTACTCTGTGCGGTAGTCACCGGTCTATTAAAAGGCACAACATATTAAAGCGTCTTTGGTGAACTGAACCGGAAATCGAGGGGTTATGACGTCATTGGGAGGCGACACAATGACACTATGGACACGGTGCGTGTCATTTGTTAAAATTGCTTATTTCTCTGGATTTAAACATTCTTCGAAACATTTGGGATAATGTAAGTACACAAGTCAGCAAAATATATAAAACTGTTTTAGTGCATTTTGGATATTTTAATAAAAAAATCTTACATATTGTGCCTTAAAGGGGTCATAGGATGCTACATGCACTTTTACAAGTTGTTTGAACTGAAATGTGTGTTGGCAGCCGATCTCAGATGCCTGTCTGTGTGACGTCACACAGACAGGTTCCTCCCACGATAGTTTGATTGACAGTAGCATTTCAGCACAGGCTGGACTGGCGTCTTACCTTAGCTCCACCCTGAGTGAGCTGCCATCAGTCCGCCATTGTTTCACCGCTGGAGCAGATGTAGACAAGAATGACTCCTAAGCGATTGAGGTGTTCTGTATCGCCTTTCCTAATAATGTGCTAATTAGCAAGTTTCACGATGAATGTGGCTGAAGTATACCGTCTCTCTGAGAGCAGCTCGGAAGAGAGGGGCGGAGTCAGCAGAGCTCATTAACATTTAAAGGAAAATGCTACAAAAATGGCTTGATCTGAAAAGAGCTGTTTTTGACAGGGTAAAAAAGGCGTTTTTTACACTACCATTGAGAAATTTTAACCAAACTATGTCACAGACTTTTCATTAAGATCCCAAAAAATCATATCAACTTGTGGAAAATGGGCATCCTATGACCCCTTTAAAAACCTAACAAACAAGTTGTTATTGCTGAGTTTATTAACACTATTAAGTCTTTCTTAACAGTCTCATATTCTCAACCTAACAATATATCTCAACAGTCAAAATTGAAGGCATACTAGATAAATTTATCTTCCAATGGTAAATTTTCCACAAAGGTAGTTGTTGTTGCATGAATTAGTTTTGGTCTATTAAAACGTATATTTCATGTATTCAAATGTATTTGTAATTGCACATTATAATTAATGATGGAGGTGCAATTTAGCACATTTAAAATATATTAACATTAAATATGACTGTAAGCGGCCAAGTTCAATACTTTAAGCAGCTGAGGGATGCTGGACGGTGCTTGTAAATGGACGACAACGACCAACAATCACATACACATACATAGCAATTCAAAGTAAAGACCAAAATGGCTCTTACCAAATAACAAACTGCAGGTAAAATTGCAATAATGTTTTTCCCCCATGTGTTTTAGTATGTTTGCTAACACGTCAAAATAACTGCACTTTTTAAAAGTGCTTCTTTAAATCATCAAAATCACATATCTTGTCTAATGATGTATAGCGAACTTAATAGCATTTTGAAAGCGCTGCAATATTTTTTATCATTACTCAAATAGGCTGATGCATGTTTTGCACTGATTTGTTTTAGAAATTAACTCAAGGTTCCTTTTTAAATAAATGATCACCAAATCGATGAAATCTAGAGAATGTGAGGTGTTGCTGACACTTTGAGCAGGTGGATGGAGGTTTCTTTGAATAATGTGTTTCCTGTACCACAGGAAGTACTATGGAGAGAAGATCGGCATCTACTTCGCTTGGCTGGGTTTCTACACAGAGATGCTGACCTATGCCGCAGTTGTTGGTCTGCTCTGTTTCATCTATGGTGTGGCTAGCTTTGATGAAAACGTCTGGAGGTGAGGATAAGACAAGGGGCCCTATTTTAACGATCTAAGCGTATGGTCTAAAGCGCACGGCGCAATTACGCTTAGGGCATGTCCGAATCCACTTTTGCTAGTTTAACGACGGGAAAAATGGTTGGCGTGCCCAGCGCATTGTCTAAAAGTGTTGTCCCTATTCTCTTAATGAGTAATGGGTGTGTTTTGGGCATAACGTGCCATAAAGCAATCAGAGTCTCATCTCCCATCCCCTTTAAAAGCCAGTTGCGCTCGCGCCATGGCGGGTTCGCTATTTACATGGCGGAATTAAATTTTTCATTTTTAAAAATGTTTGTGTGCTGTTGCGCGTCCCTGTGTGTGTTAGCAGCGCTATATAAATGTAAGGAATTATTATTTTTATTATTTTATTATTAATAAGCAAAGTGTACGCGCGTTGTGCACCCGTCTATATGCGCATATTACTAACGCGCCCTTTAAATAACAAAGAAAAAATATTGCGCCAGACTTTAGACCAGGTTTGAGTTGGTCTGTGGCGCAGTCTATTTTCAAGCTATTTAAACAACATGGCGCAAGACATGAAAATGACAACTGTGTTGGGGTGAAACTAGCAAAAAGCACTTGTGTTGCGCCTGGCACCACATTGCACCGGGTGTATGATAGGGCCCATTAAAACTGAGCAGAGAAGAAGACAGTGCTATAGCGCCCCTTGTGGCACTGCTAAGAATGCAACTAATGCATTAGAAACGCAATGGCATGTGACATAAGGCTTGAGGCCTACAACACAAGTGAAGTCTGGGTTCACAGAAACAATTTCTGAGACCGCTTTTTTGTTTTATGCAGTAAAGAGATCTGTAATAAAACCATTGGTGGGCAGATTGTCATGTGTCCTCTCTGTGATAAGAAATGTGGCTACTGGATGCTCAGCACAACCTGTAGCTCCTCATGGGTGAGTGAACAAATAACTGTCCATCTTTTATTCATTTACTTACTTATTTACTTATGGAGCATGATTTTGTGTATTTATTAATGTAAAGTTAAACCTTCATCTGATTTCCTTTTAGCAATCGTATCTGTTTGACAACACAGCGACGGTGTTCTTTGCAATATTCATGGGAATATGGGGTGAGTAGAGCCTCTTGTAGCTCTTGTAACTGTTCTAGAATTGTATCTGTTGTTACCTGTGTCTGTATTTGTTACATCAAACTACTGCCTACACAACAGTTTGATGTCAGTTGATCAGCCAATGAAAATGGGGATGAGCCATAATTTAAGAGAATGTATTAATATTTGGATGTAGTTTTAATTGTTATGATCATGATCATGAAAATGGCACATACGCTGCCTAAAGTTGGTAAATATGTAATATTTTATTTTACTCTGACTGCCCCTAATGGTAAAAGATGATACTTGTTCTTAAACATTTAGTAAAATACTCATGTTGTCAGTCAGTCATTTACAGCAAGTGTTGTATTTAGTATATTGTGACATCTGGTTGCATAAAAAATATTTTCTTTTAAATTATACATATTTAGTACATTTTATGAACAATCGTAATATGCAGATAATGCAAAAATGGGGCGTCATAGGGGTGTTTCAATAGAAAGCCAACCCAGAAGTTAGCATCACCTCTGTCGACAAAACCCATTAGACTTTGAAACATGCAGAAAATAAGCTCTGTGACCAATGAAAGTTTATGATTCTTACACGTTTCGTTCAACGTGATTATCTTCACACATGAACACAACTTTTATTTTGAAGCCTAAATACAAGGCTAAACAAACTGCAGTCACATGACTTCAACGGACATAAGCGTCAGACAACTCTTTAGTCTTTATTTAAAAACAATTGTCCCTGAAAGTTTGAGTTAGAATAGTTAGTAATAAGTAGTGACTAGTGAGGAAATGAGTTTGGCTGTGACGATCACTGACAACCTCTGTAGTCTCATTTACACACTGCCTTTTTCAATACAAGTGAAAGCTTTAAAAAAAAAAAAAAAGAGGGCATCGCTGATGTATTTTATGGTGTAGAATTAACATGAAAATATATTGAGCTTATGTCAAACACAAACCTTATTTCAGACATTTAACCAAAAAAAATTCAAAAAACATTAACTTCAGGACAGTGGGATCAGAATTGCTAAAGTACAAAAATGCATCATCCTTGCAGCACTGTATGCAGCCAGGAAACAGACACAACGTATGAGTTTTAAGGTGTAGTTTTTCTCCGCCGTCAGTGACTCTGTTCCTGGAGTTCTGGAAGCGGCGTCAGGCTCGACTGGAGTATGAGTGGGATCTGGTGGACATGGAGGAAGAGCAGCAACAGCTGCAGCTCAGACCCGAATACGAGACCAAGTGCACCCACCGCCGGCTCAACCGCGTCACGCAAGTACGCATACATATCTAATGACCTCTTGATCCACAGATTTGTCAGTGTGTAGTTTTACCAGGAATAACTATATTAAAGCAAATAATTGTTTTGATCATATAGAGCTAGGTTCTTCATTCCTGGTCTCCGAAATATTTTTTTTTTCTGCATAGTTTAGTACTATTTATTTTTAAATAACTTAT